TGTCTATTTCTTTTATTTCATTTGAAATCATTGTTTTAACATTTGATGCCATTTCAATTGTTATCTAAATCAATACATTTTTATTAATAAACTTACTTCATAAGAGCAGGATATAGTTGTGGTGAAGGTGTAAAACTATTGATTGCACCAAGAAGTAATGTCCAGGCTTTATCAGCATTATTTTTCACTCCATTACGATATGTTTGATTACAAAGTTGTACCAAAAGTTCATCTCTTTGTACAGGATTATCTAATGCCTAAAAATCATTCTTCTCTATATCTATTATAAAACAAACAAATAAAATAATGAACTTTTTTTTCGTTCTTGTCACGAAATTTATTAATTATTTCAAAATAAAAAAATTCAGAATTTCAATTTTTGATCTTTGATTTTTTTGCTTAATATTTATGAAATAACAAAGATAGTAATTTTTTTGAATCAATTTTTTCCAAATTAATGTTGTTTAAGAATAATTATTTAATTTCATTACTAACAATATCGATTATTAGATAAGAGAAATTAAAGATTAGATGTGCAATAGTTGGTAGATTATATATAACTAGAAGGTCGTAATCAATTATCAGATTTACTATTAATCAAAATGATAAGGTTTCAAATCAAATTATAAAATGGAAACAATCAGACTACTTCCACCTATGTGTTGTAAAAATGATCATAGTTCAAAATATATACGTTCCGGTAATTTTTCAACTAATAAACCACTTGAAAAAATGAAAATTAAAAGATGAATGAATCACAAATTGTATGACATTTCGAAATGTAATAGATTATTACAAATTGTAGATTGTTTCAAATTAGACAGATTATTTAAATTATAGATTGCAAAAACGAATCATAGTTTAATGTATATATATGTATATATATATATGTATATATATATATATATTTTAATTAATTAAATTATAATAACTCTTACTATTTGAATGATTGCTTTGCCAAGAATTGCTAATTGTTCACAATTCATTCGTGCATTATTCATATATTGTAATATCATTGCAAACATTTCCAATGATCGATTAAATTCCATTTCAGTTTCTTTATGCAAAAATGGAGTAGCAATTGGTTCACGTCGCATTTGCAGCAAATGACCCTAGAAATTAATTATCAGTAATCGATCTTTTATCATTTATCAACATAATGAATTAATTACATTGAATAAGTATATGTTTCAGATAACTTAAAATGGAAATATTGTTTGTCGGATGTTTAAAAACTAGTGTGGACTCTAACAATTACTCATTTAAGCTCTATTATAACTTCTCATTCTATGTTTTTGACGTGATTTATAAGTCGCATAGAAAGATTCACATGATTGTTATCATAGATCAGATTAAATTGAATATTTAATTTAAATACTTACTTTAAAATTATTTTCTGCAAACTGTTCAATGGTTTCTGTTGGAAGTTCTAACGATTTACCAATACGTTTGTTATACGGAATATAGTGATAAACAGTTCGTATATCACACATTCTACAAATTATTTGATTATTTTCACTTCAAAATATATATATATAAATGATGGATACATATTATATGTTGCCGTATATTGTTTGTAACTTTAACAAATCTTATTATTACTGCTGAAAATGTTTTAGACATGTAACGTCAGAAAAAAAAAAACAAAAATTAACCTATTAGTAGGAAATCCATTTTGTAATTTTTTCTCAACATTTTTGGGTAAATCTAAATATTCCACATTAGCTAGAGATGATGGATCAGTTGTTCGATTACATTCCTCATTTAATACAGTATTATTTTCACATCCTTCTTCTGTTTCAGCATACAAATTCAAACGACGTATCTTTCGTGTTTCCATATCAATCGCTTTACGAATTTCCTTACGACGACGATCAACTTCACGCCTTCAATGTAATAATTGAAAATTCGATTAATCTTTGATCGAATTCGCCGATTTTTTTTTTTCGTTTTGATCAATTGAATAGTGAAAAATGGAAATTTTCCGATTCATTTACCTTGCACGCCATCCTCTTAAACCTGATTGTAACACTATAGCAGCATGTCGTTTCTTTACAAATTTTCGTTCTTCAAACCATTTACGTAAATTTTTTTGTATCACAATAGCTGAACGATCAAGTAATGCATTACGACGTGTTTCCAAATGTTCACGTACCAGTTCACGCATAAATACTTGTGTTTTGCCTTTAAAAAAGAAAAAGGAGAAAAAACAAATCATATTTGATGGATTAATAATATCACCTTTTAATGCATGAACTTATCATACTGTAACTTAAAGAAGAATTATTAATCTTTTAATTGTTTCTTGAAATTTCGAAAATTTTTCATAAAAATAAAATGCTTACCTAATCGATAATGTGGATGAAATTTATTACCCTGTTGTTCAAGAATATCTTTAGATAATTCATATACCGTTTGACACCGGGCTATATCTAGCGGTAGCAAACATCGATATCTGAATTATTATTATTATTAGTATTATAACTTATTATAGGAATTGGAAAAATAATTCATATAATATTTTAGATCTTTGATGTCAATTACGATGCTTTCTTATATTTCAACCAAAAATAACTTGGATTCTTTTTGAATAATTTTCTTATAACTTTCGATTCATCGGAGTGATTAAATGCAAAACTTTTTTTAGCAAAAATATGCGAAAATATATGAAATCACAATTTGCAACATTATGAGTGACAACGTGAAATTAGTATGATAGAATAATTTAATAACAAAAAAAGAAAAAACAAAAACAAAGATTTAAATTTTGGTTGAAACATTTTTGAACCTTTCAGCAAATCGATCAAATGATTGTCGATATGGAAATCCTAGACGATAATTATTTGTGGTAGCAAGCAATGAAAGTGATCGTAATTGTCGCATCACTGTTTGTGGACAAAATTTCAACATTTCACGTTCCTGATTACTACGTATACAACGTACAAATTGCACATCACCTCTATAACATTCAATCAGATAAATATTTCATTCATACCGATTACATACATGTATAATGATCGTTAGAAATTAGAAGTAATTAAGCAAAATTCAAAACAAGGAATTGAATCTGTAAGCTGAAGTATCACTTTATTGTTAATTTGTATAGGTTTAATAGATGAATATGATATTTTTAATGTAGTGTTTTCATAATGGATGAATATGATAATTTTATGATAGTCTTATCGCAAGTTAATTAGATGGATAAAATACCTTTACCGTAAACTTTTCATACAATATCACTGTAAAGTAATGGCAAATAAAATTTTACTTATTCATTTTATCAATAAGTATTTTTGCTGCTCGATTATATCGTTGAGCAACATAAATTGTTCCATCCAATAATTGTTGCTGTGTTAATTTCATATTATTTATTGTCAAAGATCGGAAAAGTTGAGCTATCAACTGTAAAAGTTTTCATTATATTTTTATTTTAAATTTTGAAATTTACCGAGCAATTACACCGATTGGTCAGTTTTCGCTAATTTTCAAATTATATTTAAGAAAAAAAAATAGCTCAAAAAAATCCAATGTAATTTTTTATTATAAAATCCAAAATTATAAGAAAAAATTGAATATAATTTCTTATTATATATTTATTATAAATTGTTAATAATCATTTAATGATAATTGTAAATATAATTTCATTTATAAATAAAAGATGAAGAATGTTAATTTTTGAAAAAATGATAGATAAAAACTTTTTTGTAATATAATTCTTTTTAATAAATAATTTTTTAATTTTTCAAAGATGATTTTGTGTTTTTTTTTTACCGAATTTTGGCTATTTGCAAGCAGCATTATTGTTTGCCATCTAATTTGCAAGCGATTCTTTTCCACAAACTGTGCGCAATCATACCAAATTTGACCAGCATAATGGCGAATAGCAAATTCATATCTATCCAGTGGTTTGATATCAGTGATAACAGAAGGAACTGTTGTTGTTTTAGTGATAAACAACTGTCGAGGTGATTGTTGATGGTTGAGAATACATTGTTGTAAATAACGAGCAGCAGATGCCTGAAAATGATAAACATTTTCTTTGAATGTGATTTTTTAAAAATTTCTTAGTAAAATGTGATTCAATTAATTTCTTCTCTCAATTCGATGAAATATACAATTCAATTAAATTATTATAGTTGATCAAACAAATTTATAAAAATCAAACAGAATCAATCAATCGATCAATTTATGTTTCGATTTTTTTGTATTTCAATCAATCGAAATCAATCAATTTATAAAAATCAAAAAGAAAAATAAAATCAGCTGAATTGTACTTTCTTTCCTTTTTATAGTGAGCAAATAAGCATTAAGATTATTGATTACTACGGAAATTACAAGTAAACAAACAAATTGAAATATTTCCTAGAGTAAGTTTAATAGAAAGGATAGTTTTTTTTGGATTTGAGTTTGCAGGAAAAAAGAAGTAATATGACAGGCTTTTCCGGAAAAAAACAGGCTCATCTTCATTATTATATGACTTCCGGAAAAATCTTGATTATGATAAAATAAATATCACAAAACAAAGAATCGATTTACTTTTAATGGAAAAAAAAGCGAGGAAAAAAGGAAACTTGGAATGGCTATCAGGAAACCGAAAAAAAGATTAAGGAAACAAACTTTCGGAAATTTTGATTCATCATCTAATGCTGGAAGTAAGCCATTAGGACGCTGAAGAAGTAATTCGATAACTGGTTCATTATTAAACCACTGAACAGACTGCAAATATGGGAATTTTTTTTTTTGCTACATTTTACTTTAAACTATTCAAATCTGTTTTTAATTTCAATTTCAAAAAATGTTGCTAAATCTATATTAATTGTTTGATTACTAAATCAACTGTAACAAATATTTTAATATAATATTCAGGCAAAAAAAAAATCCATTAAAATTTTATTTCCAAAATTTACCTATGTATTTGAATTTATTTGAAAAGTTTACTTGCATATCAATTCCAGAAATGCTATCTTTTTGATATTCCCATTGTAATTCTCGCAGTATTTTTTGCTGATAGTACCATTCCAATCGCTCGTTATATAAATTAATGCAAAATTGTTCGAATCCATTCAAACTTGTAAAACGCTGAAAATAAATTACTTCGTACTAATAAATGAGAAGAATAAATTTTATTTAATATACTATTAAATATAGTATGATGATAGGTCATATAATATATTTACTAATTGTTTCATACATTTATATTTGATATTATATGTTATTAGATTAATTATGCTAATGAAGGCGAATGAATATTTTTGTAACATTTGACGAATTTCTGGAAGTATTTCAAAGATATGCAAATAGGAGGAAATAAAAGAAATATTTAATATGTAGTATGTTTCAGATATAATATTAATATAAAGATGAATAAGAAAAGTAGCAAAAATAAAAAAAATAAAAAAATTATAGCATTTCGAATCAGTGCAATTATAATGTAATAATTCCAATGATTATTTATATCGCTTTTGTTTAGTTTTCTTTTTTCTTCTTTTTTTTAGTTTTTATTTTTTAAACTCAGATATACTATGAACTTTAATGAAATGCAAATGCTTTATCGGAGCCAAACAGTCTTCCTTTTGCAGAAAAAATTAAATACTTTAAAACAATTTACTATTTAACTTTAGCCAAACCAACAATTAAAATGAGAGCATTAGAATTAATTTGCAGAAAATTGCAAATGGTATAATTAGCATGAATGACCAGAAAAAAGGTTTTGGTCATTTAATTATTAAAATTTAAATGAAATTAGCTTACTTCAAAACCATAACAATCAGCAAGCACAACTGTAGCCATGTTGTTATTGCTGCTAATAATGTTACATTCATTCATTGTTGTTGCATTGATACGTTTAAGAATCCATTCAATTAATTGTTCATACAATAACTGAGCAATTGAATCTCTATAATATAAGTTAGTATATTACATTAAAATACACTCTTAAAATTTCCATTAATTTAAAAAATTTCAGAAATAAAATGGTTATGAAAGAACAAAAGGACCAGTCCAACAAGCATTTTATTTCAAAAAATTTATTAAAAATAAACATTACCTGACATCTAATGCCTGTTCAATACTTAAAGGTACTGATGCTATTTCACCTTCTTCACTTATCTTCTAAAATGGAAAATTTCAATTTTTAATGAACTAACAAATTATTGTATCATTTCATAATTTATCTACAATCAAAAATTTTCACATTTATATTTTCATTGCGACAAAAAATATATTTACATGATGGTGGCAAACCTGATAACTAACTAATGATAACTGATAAATGGTGCAAATGACTATGCGGATAAATTCGTTTTATTAAGTCTTATTAATGTATTTTACTTCAACTTTCATTTATACTAATTAGCAACTGTGCTTTGTTCTATCATTCCAATGATTATAAATTCAGAAAAATTGATTGGGCGATTTCTTTTTTTTATAATCTTTAAGGTTGTCCAAAAATTTGCATTTAAAATTATTTGATTGATAACACCAACATTTATCAACACTTTAAACTTTCTTAAAAATTAGCAACTCTTACAACTTATCATTAAATTTGATAATTGTTCAACGATCAATTTTAGGCTAAATATTTTACAAATATTTTAATTAAACTAACTATTTGTTTTTGAGTTAGCAATTCATACAACGATTCCAAATCAATTTCCAATAAATAAGCACACCATTTAAGTTCCTGCTCATTGCCTATTTCAACACCATTCATAATATCATTGCATTGAACATCTGTTCCATTTACAGTACCACTTCTTGGCTAAAAATTTCCAATTATTAATTTTTTTTTCGATCTCTTATTTCTTCAAATTTTTCCAAAAAAAAAAGGATTTGTTAATAATTTAACTTGACAAATAAAGTAGTTTATTACTTTAGTAAGTTTAAAATACAAATTGCCAATATGCAAAATAGCAGCCAGAATACGTTGGATGAATTCCTGTTGATGTTCACTAATATCTAATAACTCCAATGAGCTACAAAGCCTTTCGTATTTTTGACGTTGTACCATCGGATCCATTGAAACTTTACCCTAAATGATATCATTTACTGATAGTATTGAATAGAAATCGATCGATTCAATTACTTATTATTAATTTTATAGCCAACGAATCGGCAATTCATTTTTTGCTGAAGTATAAATATAATGGCGCATCAGTTATAATATTGCCCAAAAAAAAGGAAAAAAACGATATATTTACTGATTACTTCAGCAATTGCAAAACAATTTTCAAGTAATATTGTAAACCTTTTCAATATACTTAACAACTTCTCAATATAATTAATTAGTTTCTATTATGACAGCTTATTATTTACCTGATTCAGGTAGAAATGTTGTTGTTCACCTTTCAAACCCAATTTATACTTTTCATTAGTATCCATACTTGAACAAAATTCATAGAATACATTAAAATTACATTCACCAAGTCGTTGACTAACAATTCGACTAGGTTCTACGTGTATTTGAATTTGTTGTAATTGTTGTTGTTGTCGATGTTGTTGTTGTTGTTGTTGTTGTTGTGGAATTGTATAAATTGAGAAACCAGTGAGTGTCGCGCTACAAAAATTTTTAAATTTCGTAAATTAAAAGATAAACAAAATATCAAAATATAACAGAAATTAAATAAAATAAATCAAGTACAGTACTTTCGATAAATCATTTCCATGCAATAACCCATTCGTGTTCCTTGGGTATTTTTCAATGTACGAGCACTTCCAAATGCATCAAGTATACGTTCCACTGCTTGTAACTATAATTCATTAATGGTACAAAAAAAAAGAAAAAAAAATCAATTAATTAAATCTCTCCATTAATTATCATATTCCATTAATTTCAATTTTTTTCTGCATATCATCTGTTCCAAAAATTTTTAATAATAGATGAAATCAAAAGTCATAATTATTAGATAAAATCAAAAAATTTCAATAATTTTAATGTGAAAAATTGTTAATTTTAATGATTTTAATAAAAAGTTTTTGGAAAGAGAAGTCACATAAAATTAAAATTTTTTCAGCAATTTTGAATATGAATCTAATGATGTAATTCAGTTCATACCTGTTGCACAGTGATTGTTAGCTTTGATTCATATTGTATAGAATTATTGATTAAATAATTAGCACAATGCATTAAATTATAGGTTTTACCTGAACCTGATTCACCACTGAAAATATTTCCAAAAAAATATTTAGAATAAAAATAACCTAAAAAATAACACTGATAATAGCAAGAAATAATAAATTTAGAATATTTAACTTCTTTTTTTGTTTAGCCTGACAAATCTTGTACAATTAAAATTAATTTGTTTTAAATTATAATTTAAATAATTTGATTGTAATTACCAAAAACAAATCGATTCATGCTTTGATTGGTCATTTTCAATACGCGCTAAAGCTTTTTGAGCAACGGTGAATATATGCCTATAAAGAAGCATTAGCTAATCTTCAATCGAATAACTGATACTTAAGCCTAATAATTAAGTTTCCAATAATTAAGTATAAATTAAGTCCTCGTAGCCTCGATATTGATGTAACATTATGGTAACCGGATTTACCCTGTTGGGAATGTATCAGAAAATAAATTTCCAGAAGCTTGAAATAAACAGACAAAACAGGTCATTGATCTAAGTGATATACATATCGAGATTTGAATCATACCCAAATAAATACCATTTAAATAGATTAGGGATCATTTTTAGTAGGATCTTAAGAAATAAAAGTTTCATTAAAATTTTTTACTTTATATAATAGTTAATCAAAAGAGTAACAACCTAATTAAGATTTTCTTTTTTTATTCTATTTTGCATCAATAAATGATCGTTCATGTCATTATTATCAAAAATTCTTTCATAAACAAACATTGAAATAAGTTTATTGATAATAAATAAATTTAATAAAATGCTAACGCTGGTAAATTATTGAGATTATTGGTTTTTCGATACAATTTTTGCACTGTATCATCATAAATTGTTGATAATGGATCATATGGATTTAGTACTATTAATACATCACCAGCAAATGTCTGCAAAATTTTTACTTGTCATAATAATTAATTAAACGCATAATAAACTAATTAAGGTTTTTTTTCCTTTTTTTTTTTTTTTGAAAAGAATGTGCAAGAAATGCTATCAATTTCATTATCTGAACAGTCATATGCAATATGCCATGTCATTATTATCATCATAATTCAAATGCAATCATCGGAAATACCGTCATAAACTGTGTCTTGATCATACAACCTTCTGGTTTGCCTTAAATTACTTAATTTTGGGAAATGATAAGGTCATTTGAAATCGACCAAAATGCGTATCATGTTATTATCTTAACACTTACTACTTATCATATCATTAAATTGTTTGACGATTTAATTAATGTATCGCAAGTATATCGATAATATTATATGCTGAAATAAGCATAGAAATAGAAAACTTACGTAAAAACGTTTTGTATCAAAACGTTTCCGCAAAGCAAATAACAGCGCTGATTCTGATTCATCACTGTAGGAATAAATGTTTCATTTATGAATAAAATTTTATATTCAAAATTTTTGATTAATTTCTAACTGTTCATTAAAAAATTCAAATATTCAACAAAAAGAAAAACAAATTAATTGCTAAATTTTGCATTAGATTCAAATTTAAATCTATATTATTTTATCAAAACAAAAAGCATACGGAATAGTAGCTAAATTTTCAGTATTTGGATCGAATAATTTTCTTTCGATAACTCTAACTGTGTTTTCCAATAGAACTGTTTGACCCTGTAATTGATTTTTCTTTTATTGAAAATAAATAAGTAATTGAGTAGAATTAGAATTATAAGAAAAATAAACGAAAGAAGGGAATGTAATTATTTATAACAGAAATAGAAGAAATAATTGTTGATTTATAATACCATGAAATTGAATCATATTGACAGGAAAGAATTTGTTTACAAAAGGAATAATTGTTGCTTATATTGGCATTAATTCATAATATATTAATTTGCGATTATACGTATTTGAATTATTTAATTTAAAATCAAATCAAAAATTTATACAAATAGCAAAGCTAAAAGATGAAATGATAGTAACATTTTGAATGCATTGTACAGTAAGCGGATCAGTTTCAATAATTAACGCCGGTTCCCAAAGGTCTTTTCCATTGTTCACAAAAAACCACACTGGTTGACCCTGGAATAATTTTCAAAATTAAATTTCATACATTTAAATAATTGTTCGTTTTATAAGATTATTTAATTTGATTTTTTAATCTGTCCTTTAGATATAATTTTTTATTCATATATGAAAATTTCCTGAAAAAAAATATCCTTTATTTGATGAATGTTGAAGACTCGTCTTCCCGTTTCCTTACATTCTAAGCTTTTCATAACTTTATCGATATCATGGAATTATTGTTTAAATAATCTTTTTATACTATTTTCCTTTCTTACTCTACGAATTATTGTTTCCTTTTTTTTTCCGAATTATTACTTCCTTTTTTTCTCTACATACTTTTACCTTAAATAGGCCTTTATCACATGTCATAAATGATTGAAAATTTTTATACAAATTATCGATATAAATTAATGGTCATATCTTAGTTATTCAAATATCTATATGGGTCAATAGAATTTCTTTTTTTTTTTTACAATATTGCCATCAATTTTGCAATTAATAAGTGTGATTTTTATCAATCTGTTATTAAATTATTTGCGAATGATTACAAAAGTTTTTTTTTCATTCGTATTATTCGGTAATTCGATCAATTTTTTTTTGGGGTCACTGTGCCATGATAATTTTCACAAGGGTGTTAAATTTGACCCTCATTTGGTTATGTGTTGATTGGCCGGACAAAAAAAAAGAAGAAAGAAAACCAGCTATCGTTTTCCTTATCTTTCAAATCACAAGTGTAATGTGAATCCCTTCTTGTCATTTTTTTTAGAGGACATGATGAGACATTATTTGTGAAAATTCAATCAAAAAATAATTTTTCTTCCATGAACAAAGCCAATTCTTTCCTTTTGTCCAATTATTTTTAATTTTTTGTCCTTTCTTTTTTTCCTGTTGAAAAAAAAAAAGAAAATTCTGGCTATATTTCTCTTTGTATTTTAATTAGTAAAAAAATTTTTTTAAAGAAATGTATCACTTAAAGTTTTGATTTTTGCTTAGAATTTTTAAAAAATTACTGAATTAAAACTGATAAAGTGAAGTAAAATGATAAAAAGCATTAACTTTTCGCCAAATTAATTGCATTGGATTTATTTTGAAAAAAAATATCATTCGTTTGACAATATGCCAAGCTTTAAATTTCAATTAATCACATGCATAGACAGATTTAAATTTTCATATAAAATTATCGTCATATTAATTACGCCAGATTTTGTAATCGTAATTAATATGTTGAAAAAAAATTGACATAATAGCACGGATACCTTGCAAATAGTACTCAACATATCGTCCCATTAAGTTATATGCGTAGATTTTTCTAAAAAAAATAATTGATGGATTATTTTAAGTAATTATAAAATTAATTAGTAAGTTAAAACGGCGAACTTCCGCAGTATGATTCGGCGACATTTTTCGATATGTTGGAAGGAGTATATTATTTAAATTAATGGTTCCCAACCTTTTCTTGACCACTGACCACTTTGACAGCATGGTCACCAAATTCTGCTAATGTTTTAATCGGAACTTCTAATGTGTTTGTTAAATTTGGAGGAGGGTTATAACGTACAGAAAAAGAAAAATTATTTTTCTTTTAGTAGTCCTCGCGATTGGAATTTTAATGCTCGCGGATCACCGGTTGGAAATTATTAATTTGAAAATAATTTGATTTTTCTATTCTAATCATTTCCTTTTCTGTAAATTATTTCAAGCTAATTAATGAACGAATCTGATTAAGACTGGTTGAGAATTTTTTTTTTCCTTTTTAACAATTTGCAAGACAGAAAGAAAAGGAGAAATATTCGGATCACAAAAAAAAAAAACTTAAATTATCGAAATGATCAAAACAAAATGCAACATTTATCAAATAATATGGAAAATATAAAGAGATTTCAGCTAATTACGAAACGAATTAATTACAAGTTGGAAATATATTAAATTATTGAACTCTCTACGTACATTTTAAATATGAATCGATAAACTAAATGTATAATTTAGAAAAAAAAGTATCAAAAAAAGATATTTGATAATTAAATATCGTAAATTTGTTTAAAATTCATAAATCATAGAAAATTGGAACAATTTAATGAATTATGAAAGTAAAAATGATAAAATTCTTACAAAATATGTATTTCAATATAAAATAGTATGAAATGAATGAATAAATTCCTTAAGACAATCATTTAAAATGGATAGTTTCGAGAACGTTTAGATGAGAAAATCGGAGAGAATTAACAAAGTTGAACGGTACACAATCAAATAGAGTTCATGGCCGTTTTCAGTTCAAGCAGCCCTTTTAATCAACCCTTTTCATATTCATTACTACCAACAACATCACTATCATCAACCTTTTATACCTTCTACTTCTATCAACGCCTACATACCTTTATCAAAACTGTATTAAATATGTGTGTGTGTGTGTGTGTGTGTGTGTATCTGTTTGTCCGTATCTTTTTCTACATTTGTATCAATCAAACTGATATAATTTGCCGATATCATTTGGCATTATATGAAATGTACCAAAATTGGTTTTCAGTCATAAATTTAAATTGAACTGTAAGAAAATGAGAGAAAAAATGTAAATTTAAAGTTTCCCACAAAAATTCATTTTAGTCATTAACTGGCTAAAAAATTAACAAAAGGCAAGTCATAAATAAATAGAAATTGAAGAAAAAAATTTACATACGTTTTTCATTATTGGTAAAATTTGCAAATGAACGAAGATAAAAAGAAATGAATAACTATTTAACCTATTGAATCAAAATATGAATATGATATATATTTTAATATTTATCGGAGACTTTAGTTCAAAATATGAAATTGTAAAAGGGATTTCATTACCTAAAACTTTTTGCTTTTTTGAAATCAACCCTAGCAATTATTAATGTAATTTGAACTGGAAAATTTTTCCATGACAACTTTTTCATTATCTCAGTTATTACTCTATTTTTTCTTGTTGAATTGAAAATTTGGTAAACATCAATTGATGTGATTAATAATTGTAATTCAAAACGGAAAAAGTGTCAGTGAATTTCGACTCGACAAAAAAAAATTAAAATTTAAAGCGAAAATTTGATATGATGGATGGGATTATTAATTTTTCTTTTTTTTTGACGTTGTTTTTTTCAGTAATCGTAATTAAAGTTGTTATAAATTTGTGTTATTTCCATGCGATTAATCCTGTTTGTATCGGTCAACAAATTCAAAATTTATAAATTGAAACAGAAATTAGAATTGTGGAAAATAACAATAAGAATCAACAGCATACAGTGCATCGTAGTTGTCATATGTATCATTCATTATTTGTGTGATCATCGGTGACCTGAATCTTTCCCCACATATCAAAATAAAATATTAATTATAACGATAAAAATCATCCAGCAATTTAATGGTATCTGTGTATGTGTGTATGTTTATGTATCTTTATATTCAAATGAAAATATTCTTAAATTCGATTTCAGATTAACTGAATAAATTCATATTATATTTGGAATTTTTTAAATTTCTTTTCAAATAAACCTTAGTTCATTAATATAAATGGAAAAGTTTCCAAAAGAAAAAAAAAATCAGTTTACATGAAAATTTTGTTCTCTAACAGAATTTTAAGAACTTTCAAAACGTTTCACTTTTTTTTTTCTTTTTTTGGTAAATGTAATTGACAATAATTTTAGTACATAAATTTGTGCTAATATGTAATATTTATTTATATTTTGATAACAATATTATAAATCGAAATCTTTTAATATCTAGCAGGAAACAAATTTGAATCATCAGTAAGTAGAATAAATAATTTTATAGTTTAGAATAAAATGATGTAAAATACTTTTATTATTCAATATTTCTATAATGGAAAGTAAAAAAAGTGAAAATGCCAAGAAACATATTCAACATTTTACTACAGTATGCTATCCAATAACATCATTCGCTTATGTTAGAAACAAGTCATCGAACATATTTTAGAGAACAAGGTAAAAATTGCCAAATAGCAGAAATTCCGGAAGATAGGATTAATGCATAACTTTGTAGAGAGGAATTTATTTCATTATTATTGATTATCTCATTAATTTCTAATTCAAAGTCTATTAACTGAAATCGTTTTATTGCTTATCTTTAACCAAGAATTTGCATATTCCTTCGTCTTATCGCATTTGCTTCATTTAGGGAATAAATTTCATTTATTATTTTTTGATTTATTCACAATTTCAATGCTATTCAATACTCTACATTGTTTTATTCTACAACTGATTGTATTATTGTCATTCATTGCTGGAACTGATCAGAATGTTGTCGCAAATAGTGATATTGTCGTAAGTAATGGTGACAATGCATTCCTTCCTCACATTTTCAGGTTCCTATACAAAAATGAACAGTTATGTAAGTTTTCATTTGCATACGATGACATGATTTATGAATTTGCTAATAGCAATACTAATAATGGTCAATAGTAATAAAATAAAGTAGTAATAAGAAGTAACAATGGTTAGTATAAAATAGTAATAACAAATATAAGTTATAATAGACGGAGGATTTATAAAATAGCATCGACTTTCTTCTTTTAATCATAATTTGTATTAATTATTTTGTTATTGTAATTATGTTAATAAACAAAGTATTTAGAATGACCTTAATGTAATAATGGCAATAATAATAAGAAATAAAATATGATAAGAAACATAAATTGCGATTAATTTTAATGATGTATTATTATCTTGGTTATAAGTACTAGTGAAGTTACATTGAATTAATCCATCATTTATCATTCCTTTATTTTGATGTCTTTTATTTTAAATGATTTCTACCTACTAAATAACTTTCAATGAAACTTTGCAATGTTTGAATTTAATCAAAAATATAACTTACGCTATAATAGTTTCATTTTTGCATTGTTTAGCATACTAATCATTTCGTTAATATTGTGGGCTATCATCTTTTTTTTTCCTGAAAACAAACATTAAGATATCTGATAATAATTTAATTAGAAATTTTGAAGTATATTTTGATGCAATATCGAGAAGTTTTATTCTTTCAAAGATAACAATTCATCTCATTTACGGTTCTTTCTACGACCCATTCACAAATTCACTTTAAATTAGTAAATTAATTGCTAAATTGGTAATTAAAATGTTTCATTATTGAAGTGGACAATTTTTATTTCGATATTTATACATGGAAAAAGATCTCAATGACCAACAATACTAAGCTATATATATTGATCACATATAACTGAAATCATTTTTATATTTTTACGATTTTGAAGTTTTTTATTAAAAATTTACAAATTATAACTATCAAATTTGTTATCGTTTATTCTTATCTTTATGTATCAGTGATTTTTTTTAAGGTGGTGACGTATTTGTTGAACCACAATGGCTTCCGGCACAAAATGATTGTCAAATTTCATGCCCAGTTTGTTTACTATTTTTTGATAATATGAAAAAAAAAAATAGAATGATAATAATGAAAATCATTAAAGTAATTAATAATTAGAAAGGACAATTTGAATAATAATGAAATGATGAAATGAATAGGATTTTCGAATGAAAATGTAAACTGAAAATTTATCTTAGATAACGAGAGGTTTATGCTTGATATATGTTAATCTAAGCAATAATGGTGCTCGAATACAGAAACAGAAATGTCGTCATTGCAAGTTTTCATTTATCATTCATTTTATAGTTAATTAATTCGTGCTTAAATTAATTCTTGTTGAGAGAGTTGATGATAGAGGCGAAGTAACGTCGGTGCATATTTTCCATTCATATTACTGTAGCATTTTGAATTATTATTGCAACATTTTGAATTATCATTTCAAAAGAAATATTTTGATTAGATCACGATGATTTCCAGTCCAAGCAAACTGTACTATCGAACTGCAACGATTATTGGCTACTTCTGCATTCACTAATACAACTCCTACCACAGCCACCAATATTACTCCTACAAACATTATCACTATTAGCAATATTACCACCATAAATAACACTAATAATGCTATCATGTATCATAAAAGTAAGAATGAAGTATGGAACGAACTACATAGAAGATTTCGTACAAATCGTAGTGACAGTAGTGACAGTAAAATGACCGATGCGATACTTCAGCTAATGCCTGAAATGTGGAATGGTCATAGTGAGAAACGGAAGAGAACTCAGTTTAAAAGAAAATTTCATGGTAAGCTTATTAAAAATCAAAAGGCTATCTATGGTTATAGAATGGATAAATAAGATACATAACCCAATGCAGATAGGACAAAGTTGTCATATGTCATGCATTACTAGTGAAACCAGTATAACAAGCTATAATATAAGTGATACAAAATATTCTGAGTTAAATTAAGTCTTTCTGAAAAAGTATAGAAATGATTAACTTGGAATGGTGCAAACTTCATTTCGGTATTATGCGTCACCGGTAACGCTTTTTTCACCTTATCTACAGTACGCAGGTTGATGATAAAGAAAAATGAACAAAACTGTCAACGAACTACTTGATTTCCAAAAGAATTCATCGACAACCAAACAACAAAATAATTTACAAACTGGGTTTATGAATTATGGATCGATTCGATTGTATCCATAATCATTATCACCTGATAATTGTTAAAATGGATGTCAGGGGAATTATTCGAAGGGGCAGCTTAACTTCTGGAAATATTCAGTAGACTAATATCACTCAGATCATTTTTGCATGAAAAAAGAGCGCAACACATCAAATGCGAGTAAGTCCCAGCAGACAGAAAGTATATTTTATTAAGTTTAACAACCACATACGACCGATCTCGGGATTACCATAACAACCTCGAAATTATCGCATACTGATCTCAGAATTCTGATGTAACAGTCAATGTTGGTGAAAGTAATGTGATGTGATTATATTGTGAAATGTTTAAAATATGAAAAACTTCATATTGAAATTTCAGTTGAATTGAACGGATAAGTTTGTGTGATTTCCGAATATTGGCGAAATATTTGCGGCGAGTGACTTGGCGATATATTTGTCATTATTGGATTTAATTTATTCATGAACGAAAATTAATTACTGCAATATCAATTTAGTAAAGGATACAAAAAAATTAAATTTATGTGATCCACTAGTGATACAGTGATACCAGCAGTACTACAAGCCTTATTCTTGATGTGATAAATGTTAGCAACAAAATAAGTAGTGATAACAATTCGGATTTGTCACAAATTTCCCATAAGAATACCTGTTGATACAAGTACAATTTTTCACTGATTTATCAAATATTGATAAAATTATAGATGTAATTTAGATAGCAATAACAAACAATTAGCAAATGAATATCATGAGAACTAATTAACCATGATATTTATTATTGTTAAACAAAGCTAATTCATCCGAGTATATGATATTGGTTAAATTAAAATCATAGGTAACTAACATGCGTAATTACCCCGCTATTTTCTCTAATAGATATGGTATTAAATGAAAAATACATATATTTCATATAGCATCCAACTTTTTAACCATTGCTGCATTTCGACTTATTCTCTAACTTTGATCAATGATAAAAATTATGAATTGCAAGGAAATTGTTATTCTGTAATGAATCAAAAAATTTATATGTATTATATTCAATTTATGATAAAAAAATTGAATACGGACCAATGATTTTGGTATTTTCCTTTAGTATTTCTTGTATGTTTACTGTTGTAAGCCTATATTGGAATATTTAATACCGAATGAAAAATGAATATTCAATGATTAACATGAAAGCAAGAAGAAATTATGATACATTCCAATATGTTATTTCTTATCATTGAACAGCTTATTAAACAAAATAATCATTTAATCATAAACAACAAACCAATTATTCAATAGATCAGTTCATCAATATAAATGAAATTAATTGCTTGGGAGTATATTTGACTAATGAGAAATTACTATATAGCTTTAGTTGCTGTAAAAAATAGAAAAAAACAATTTAACAATTCGTTTTTTTCTAACTAATGAATTGTTAAATTATTTCTTTATTTATTGCAATGACTAAAGCTATGCAATAATTCCTGAAGCAAAGTGAAATTAGTTTTTTAAATCATACAACAATTGTAGCAATAAACATCGCAATCCATTCATTAATTCATTTCCTTTTTTTCTGAAATTGTATAAAAGCTAATTACTTATCTGAACACTTTCATTTTACTTTATTATATCTAAAATGTAAATGACTTGATTTCATCTAAATTTTCCATAAATTTTAGCTAATTGTTCAATATGTCGAGTTTTTTCTAAGATGAACCATTGTAACAGGATGATGAAATCATGGCTAAATCATAAATATATAAAAGTTTTACATTCTATCCTTAAGAGTAGGACAATAAAAAGAGTAATAAAAAAGTTGGGTTAGAAAATAATGGCGAATGGTTTTGATAGCTAACGATATATTTCACATAGCGATTTCATTAAAGCTATTCAATTTGTTGCTACAAGCGTCATTTTCATAAGTTGAATTAAGTAATGAAAGCATAAATGCATTTTGGAAATGAGCTTTTAACAGAGTGAAATTGATAAAGGAAAAAAAAGAGAATAAAATATTAATGCGAATGGTGTGGTGGTTTTTTTTTTCTGAATCGTGGAGTGTGATGTCGACCAATAGCCAAATATCACCAGTGTTGTCGATCGGCTTC